CTACACCACCCATGATTTGGAGTTGGGAGTTGTAGTTTTTTTCCCAGAAGATATGGTGTCATTACCTTTATGGAACAAATGCACAATCCACATGGATCACAAGGGTCTTCAGCACATTTTCGATCAAAAGGAGCTCGACATGAGACAACGAAGGTCGTTAGAGTTGCTGAATGATTATGAATGTGAGATCTGTTATCACCCAGGCAAAGCAAATGTATTGGTTGATACCTTAAGCCGAAAGGAGCGAATCAAACCCCGAAGAGTTAGAGCACTCACCATGACTATCTAGTCTAATCTGACCACACAGATTTTGGATGCTCAAATGAATGCTCTCGCGGGAGAAAACATAAGTACGGAGGATCTATGAGGAATGGAAAAGCAACTCGATGTTAAGGAAAATGGAGCAAGATAATTCATGAGCCGAATTTGGGTTCCAAAATTTGGTAATACTAGGGAGCTAGTCATGAATGAAGCTCATAAGACGAAATATTCCATTCACCCCGAAGCAAATAAGACGTACTTAGATTTGAAGAAGCTTTATTGGTGGCCAAATATGAAGGAAGAGATTGCTACATATGTAGGCAATTGTCTGGCTTGCTCGAAAGTCAAGGCAGAACACCAAAAGCCATCATGGTTGTTATAACAACCAGAAATACTATAATAGAAGTGGTAACAGATTTCGATGGACTTCGTAACGAAACTACCAAGAACATCTAGTAGTTTTGACACTATATGGGTAGTGGTCGATAGATTGTCCAAGTCCGCCCACTTCCTACCAATCAAAGCGACGGATAAAATGGAAAAGTTGACTAGGATGTACCTCCGAGAGATAGTCAGATTGCATGGGGTCCCATTATCCATTATCTCATATAGAGATAGTAGATTCATATCACGATTTTGGCAAAGCCTACAGAAATCTCTTGGTACCTGTCTAAACATGAGCACTACCTATCATCCTCAGACCGACGGTCAAAGTGAAAGGACAATCCAAACATTGGAAGATATGCTCAGGGCATGTGTGATAGATTTTGGAAATGCATGGGATACTCATCTACCCTTGATCGATTTCTCATACAATAATAACTATCACACTAGCATCAAGGTTATGCCATTTAAAACTCTATATGGTCATATGTGTCAATCACCAATATGTTGGGTAGAAGTAGGAGATATGCAAGTAGTAAAGGAATTTACATGAGATACCTTGCTAACAGACCCATAAATCATCCATGAAACTACTGAGAAGATTTTGCAAATACGAGAGCGTTTAAAGACCGCTCGTAGTCGTCAAAAGAGCTACACTGATATCAGAGGAAACCCCTTGAATTCTAAGTTGGAGTCCCTATAAGCATAAAGCAATCAACATTCGAACATTGAGTTCTAGACCAGAGCACTACCTAACCAAGCCACTCTATCTAATCATCTGAAATCCATACTAGCATGCAGTTCTAAGGGTTCATACAATTGGCATATAAAGGCATCTCTCCTAACATCCTACTATGTAATTATGAGTAAATCCTTAGCCCTAGTCTAGCATGCTATACATATATGCGTACACTGAAACAATAACATGCATGGGTCTTTTGGGAATACTTACATGAGCTCAACTAATTGTACGCATCGCACCCCCTTTTCTTTATAAAATCTTATTTAGAAAACTCTTGTTTCTTTCAAAAAGATTATCAATTCCTCAATTTGAGATTCAGACACACCCGGAAGTGTGCCTGAATCCCTCAAACCAAGGCTCTGATACCAACTTGTAACGTCCCAAAAATTAATAAGTAAAAATTTCACTTTTAAAACCAACAGAAACATCATTTGGTTATTCAAAACCCATCAAAACGTGATATTGTATAAAATAGTTATCAAAGTACAAATCAGGTCATAAAATGTGGAATGTTGGTGGATGCGATGCGATCATGTCGGGCCCTTACCCTTCGAACTGGAAGTACCTGAAATCATAAACATAAAACTGTAAGCACAAAGCTTAGTGAGTTTCCCCAAAATACCCCATACCAAACATACATAACAGTCAAAACATAATTGGGTCTATTTCACCCCATTCGGTCTCTTTCAACCGGTAATGGGTCTATTTCACCCCATTCGGTCTCTTTCAACCAGTATTGGGTCTATTTCACCCCTTTCGCTATCTTTCAAGCGGTATCGGGTCTATTTCACCCCTACAGCTAAGCATACAAGCACATCAGCAAGAGTCACAAAGACAACAAGTACATACCGGCATAATAGTAAGTGTCACAAAGACAATTATCCTCCTACAAACATAATCCAGTGGGTCGGCATTGGTGCCTTCGACCTATGAGTACAGTGAAGAGACTCACATATCAAACGATGATCAATTGCAACTGCTACTACTGCTGCGAACACAGATGCAACCAACCACCTATACAGCCATATAAAGCACACCATTAGCTTTTCTTCCAAGACTAGGGATTGACCAAAAGTCCACATAAACCAAAGGTCAAAGTCAACGGTCAACGTTGAATCGCCACGTTGTGGCCATCCTTGGCCACGTCGCGGTCCCTAAAGGACAAAACAGACTATCTAACCTAGTTGCCACGTCGTGGTGACCTGACGCCACATCGTGGTAACTGGGTTCCAAACATCTTAATTGATTAAGCTGTTTTCTTCAACCCCATGAGGTTCAAAGCTCATATGTAACTCAAAACATGATCTAGAAGGATAAAGTTTCTAACTTTACCCATTAGGACCATCCAAAGAGGTCCAAAACTCAAACCCTAGGTTCCACAATACATAAACTTAACCATTAAGCACTTATTCATTTAAGTCTAAAGTCCATCTTCTCAAGAAGTGTTTCTAGCACTAAAACCAACATGAAAGTTGGTGCTTTATAGACATACATGTCGAATGCATGTCTTGAACCCATATTAGGTCAAAATGAGAGTTTATGACCTAAATCTCATGCATGACTTCAAAATACAACCAAACTTCATATCCAAGCCACAAACTACACCAAATGACCCAAAGATTCATAAAGTTGCAAACTTTATGAAACCCCACCATTCTGAATAACTAGAATAAGAAGTTTATGGGACACGGCTCAAGATCTAGCATCTTAACATGGTAAAATTCGAGTTTAGGACACTCACAGAGGTCTAGAAGAGTGCCAAGGTAAAGAATGGAAACTTGTTTGTTGGATCCTAGCTCAATAATTCTCTTTCTTCCTTCAAACGCTTCCAATAGTACCAAAAAGAGCTTCAAAAATGGAGGGAAAAGATTAGGGTTTCTTCAAGGCTTGAGGATGCTGATGGAGGTTGAGGATGGGCAAACCCTAGCCTCCTCATTTCTTTAAATAGGGAGCAAACCCGAAAAATTAGGGTTTTTGCCATAAGGTTGCTGCCACGCCGTGGCGGCTAAAATGAAACACGCGTTTAATCTTGACCTGCCACGTCGTGGCAGCCCTCAACATAAAAGAAAATAGTTTCAAAGTACCACAAAATTCGGATGTTACATTTTCTGATAAGTACAAGGGGTATTTTTGTAATCTGTCACTTTCCTTGATGAAAATAAATGTTTTTCATCCAACTTTGGGAGGAATCCACTTTCCTCCATACGGTGGAAAGTTTATTTCATTTAGGAATCCATTCCCCCCCCCCCCCCCTCTAAGTCCAACAAAACACATGAATTCAAGGGAATTTGAATCATTTTCCTTCGAATTATATTCATTTCCTGCCAACCAACGCGCCCTTATATTTTCGTTTACCTTTCAGATTTACCTAAATATTTATTTTTATAAGAAGTCACTGGTTGTTTTGTGGCATGACATTTATCTTGTTTGTTTTTAGGTTGACATTGAAAAAATAAGCAAAATCACTTATTTTTGCTCGAGTAAACGGTATATTTTTCACGTTTTACCTTAGACAAGAGGCAACATCACTTATTTTTGTTTTCATGTTAAACTCAAAAAGAAAAAGATAAATATCATGTCACAAAACAATTAGTAATTTCTTAGAAAAATCAGATATTTGGGTTAATGCAAAAGGTAATTGAAAATGCCAACGGTTTTTCTAAATATAAACAAAATATAAAACTTTTTTTTAATATTAATAGATATATGATCGTGCATTTTGTTATTTTGATACTTTATTCAAAACAACACATAATTCTTGAATATCATAATAGTAACCACCCTGCTTCTTAACTTATTCCTGGTTTCTTTCATAATAACCAATTGTTATTGTAAATTGATACCGTCCAAATTTTAATTGAATTTTGAACAAATAACTATGTGGCTATGGAGTATGATTGCCTCAAGACCTGTGGGTTTAGCTGTTTAGGCCTAGAATATATTCATTTTTAAGCCCCCAAAAAAAATCTATTTATGGATTTCAATATAATAGTAAATCGAACTATGAAATCAACATATATAATAAGATTATTCTGATGTTATCAACTATACTTTATTTTCCTTCGCAATTTTTAATTTTATGCGTCAATCTATACCCTAACAATACCCTATAGGTAGATTATTCGCGGGATGTTATTATTTGTTTTATATATATATATATATATATATATATATATATATATATATATATATATATATATATATATATATATATAAAACATTAAACATTAAATAACTCATATAGCATGCTATCACATATATATATAACTCATGATCAACATCTATATATCAATAAACGTATATATATTTGAATAAACATGTATAAGATTTTTGTATACACCAAATTTGGCCCCTAACCAGTAACCACAAACCTTGAAACTCATCAAGATGAAAAGAACATTCCAAATAATAAGAATCATTTACACGTTGCATATATAGTCAAACCTCGATTTTATTTGTTTTTTCTTTCTTTTTATTAAAAAAACCCTAACTCCTTGACACTTGGACTTGTAAGTTGCATCAAACTGGCAAAATCATCCCAAATCTCAAAGCCGGCCTTCATTCATCAACAGCTAATCATCCAAACGACTTCGTCAATGTCACCATCTCAAATGTCTTCATCTCCATATCCTTCAATATTTCAGCCATCCCTCTTCACTTCCACCTCCTCTCTCAACCTCCGGCCACCATGGCCTCAAAAAAATGGCTCTTACTCGCGTTTTTTCTCTTCACAACTGTGTTATCTGACACCACCGACATCACCAACCTAATCGCGTTCAAGAACTCACTCGGAAACCCGAAACCGCTGTCCAACTGGAACCCGGATGTTGAACCGTGTAACCTGGATAAAGAGAACTGGACCGGAATTATCTGCGGGAAAAACGGGAGTGTATTAGGGTTACAGCTCGAGAACATGGGGTTAACAGGGACAATCGACATGGACATTTTGGCTGAAATACCAAGCATTCGAACCCTAAGTTTTGCGAACAACGGTTTTGGAGGATCGATGCCTGATGTGAGGAAAATTGGGCTGTTGAGGAGTATTTATTTATCGAACAACAACTTTTCAGGGGTCATTGGGAACGATTTGTTTGCTGGAATGAGTTCGATGAGGAAGATTGAAGTTCAGAGTAACAAATTTAGTGGTCGGATTCCTGAATCGCTTACAGGGATGAGCATTCTTGTTGATTTGCAGATGCAAGATAATGAATTTGAAGGTGAGATACCAAATTTTGAACAGAAAAGATTGAAGGTGAATTTTGCCAACAATAGACTTAATGGGCCAATACCACGTGGGCTCATGAACCAGAATGCAACCTCGTTTGCAGGTAAGTGTCTTCATTCGTTTTCAACTGTTTTTTTTTAATTATTATTTTTTTTAACGAAACTGCAATTACAATGATATATTATTTTTTTATTTGTGGAAATTATGAAAGGTTACGGCATGTTGATAACTATGATAGTATTGTAACAAAGTTAGTGATGTTTGATATGTTTCTCACAGGACCGGTTGATAAATAGATAGTATCGTAACAAAGTTAGTGTTGTTTGATATATTTCTTCTTACCATATTTGTTGGAAGTCTGATTTGCTCTTGACTCCTCTAAAATGTCTAAAATGCCTCTTACTCTGTCAAATTCAAAACCCGAGTCTTACTCGAATAAATCTAAATCAATCAGTAACTATAAGATATTTTTTGGATAAAATAATCAAGTCACGGTCGAATTAAAATGTACATTTGTTATAAAGTAAATGTTATGTTTTCTTTATTCAAAGTGATAAAAAGTTGAAGCATTTTTTTATCTCAAAATTAATAAAAGCTTGGAAAGTGCCATGCACGTTGCTCTCAATTAGTGCGCGTCTAATTCGATTCTATCAATCATTTTTAAAATGGCATGATTAATAATATGTCGATTTAATATTTAATATTTACTAAATGAAATATCATATTATTATACGTGCTTTCTATGTTCTCATATGTGGATTTCATATTTTAATTGTAAGTTATATTAATATCATATTTAATGTTTTATTTGTTAGTTGCAACTTTTAACTATTTTATTTGGTCAATGTAGGTAACAATTTATGTGGTGAACCACTTACCAACCCTTGTAAAATCTCAAAGCACAAACACACTCTAAAAACCTTCATCATCACGATTGTCGCCATCATCATAGTTCTAGCCATCATCATACTCTCTTTACTTATTATTCGATCCAAAACAAAACCAAAAAACAATTACAAATACCAACAAACAACAAAACTCAACAACAATCCGTACAAATTCAACACAAATGAAATCCAATTGCATCACCACGAAGACGAAGAAGAAAAGAACCCTAAACGAACCAAAAATGGAGAAAAACTTCAGTTTGTGAGGGGTGGTAGAGAGCGGTTTGACTTACAAGACCTTTTACGGGCCTCGGCTGAGGTTTTGGGAGGTGGGAGCTTTGGATCGTCGTATAAGGCGTCATTGTTGGGTGGTCCGGCAGTGGTGGTGAAGAGGTTTAGGGAAATGAACAATGTGAGAAAAGAAGGGTTTTATGATCATATGAGGAGGCTTGGAAACCTTTCTCACCCTAATTTGCTTCCCCTTGTGGCCTTTTATTACAAGAAAGACGAAAAACTTTTGATCACGGATTTTGCGGAAAATGGTAGCTTGGCTAGTCATCTCCATGGTATGTTACAGCTTACCCTATTTATTACTTATGACATGACATAACATGTTGTTCTGCATTTATTGTGCATTAGATTGGGACCAAAACTAATATCGATGGGATAAAAATTGCAATCTTTTATATTGCCAAAAAGGGTGGGGCATGGACTCCGCTTGATCTTTCATTTGTGTAAAAGACCTAAATGCCAAATTTGCCCCATTCTTGTCCTTGTCCCACCTTTTTTATGTCTCATTGACATCAATGTCAGTCATGTCTCGTGAAATGTATTTTAGTGTTAGCAGATTTATATTAAAATTTGTCTTTGTTTTGGAAAATTATAGGTAAACGAAAGCCAAATGAACCGGGGTTAGACTGGCCAACACGGTTAAACATAATCAAGGGTGTAGCTCAAGGGCTCGACTATCTCTACGAGGAGCTTCCTAACCTATCACTACCCCATGGCCACCTAAAATCATCCAACGTGCTTCTCGACAAAACCTTCAATCCCCTTCTAGCAGATTACGGTCTAACCCCAGTAGTCAACAAGCACCATGGTCAAGAGTTCATGGTAGCCTACAAGTCGCCAGAGTTCACCCACCATGACCGGACCACCACCAAGACAGACGTTTGGTGCCTCGGAATCCTTATTCTAGAGATGTTGACGGGGAAGTTTCCGGCGAACTATTTGAAACAAGGGAAAGGCGGGAGTTCGGATTTGGAGACATGGGTAAACTCGGTGGTTCGAGAAGAGTGGACGGGTGAAGTGTTTGATAAAGAAATGAAAGGGACGAAGAACTGTGAAGGGGAGATGTTGAAGCTTTTAAAGATTGGAATGTGTTGTTGTGAATGGAGTATTGAAAAAAGGTGGGATTTAAAGGTGGCTGTTGAGAAGATTAGTGAGTTGAAGGAGAGAGGTAGTGATGAAGAGTATTCGTCTTATACAAGTGATGGAGATGCTTATTCTTCGAGAGCCATGACAGATGACGATTTCTCGTTCTCGGCTAACCTTAAACCAACCTAATTTGTTGATGCTGACTTGCTTTTCTATATGATATCTTGTAATTTATAAAACAAATTTGTTACAATTTGTTTTAGTCACGGATATTGGGTTCTCTCGCACGAAGTTAGAGTGCATAAAGGGTTGAATGCTAGACATACTTTCATTGATTTGTTTATTACAACATTCCACATTTATTTCTTCCTAATACAGCATCATACTTTGTATAATTTATCCAATTGTAGCAAATGTCATGCTACTTCCATTTCTTCCTATTACAGCATTACAGTTTTGTTTAAAAAGGTAAAGCGTTAAATGCTAAAAATAGCAACGTACTTCTATTTATTTGTTTATTCTAGCATCCTACTTGTATTTTTTGCTATTAGATTTCAAAAATCTATCCAGATATAGCAACCCAAATACAAAAAAAAAAAATCATTATTCTATGCTATAATTTAGTAGATTATTCAAAGTATAATATGCCCAAAAAAAGAAAAATAGTTGAAACTATAATACTATAGTTGGATACAATTTCAAAGTACGATGTCTTAATGAGAAAAAAAAATGAAAATACTGTATGGTACAGAAATAAATGTGTGTTTCCTAATTACTTAATGCAGAAAAAACAACTTAATAGATAAAGTCAGATTTATCACACTCAGTGTCATCTTTATCTTGGTTAACTAAAAGATAAAACAGTCTCCAGTAGGATAACGAATGGTGAATACAGAAAGCTAAATAAAGAACATAAACTGGTTCCTAGTAAATTTCATCATCAGGTATATCAGGATTCAAGAATCTGTCAGGATTTTTGCTAATTGCATCATAACTAAGGGTAGGTTAACTCGATCTGGAACAGGCATAAGTGGGATGATGCTATCTTCATCTATAACACCATCAATTATGCCATATTCAACTGCTTCAATTGGAGACAGATATCGCTCCCTGTCAATATGTTTTTACTTGTTCAAAAGATCGACCAGTGGATTCTGCTATAATTCTGGTGACATTTTCCTTCTTATGCATCATTTCTCGGGCCTGGATTTCAACATCTATGGCTTGGCCACTAGCACCACCGAGTGGTTGGTGAATCATGATTCTTGTATTAGGCATAGCGAAGCGTTTACCTTTAGTTCCACCACCAAGGATTATAGATGCTGTTGCCATCCAGAAAGGGCTAGCGGCGCAGCTCCCGTTTGCCTTCAATCGATATGTATTGAACTTTTAAAATGGAATTAGAAAAAGAAGAATTGTTGAAACGTCAGCCCTAACAAGCTTCAAAACATCGTAGATTGCCATTGAAGCGCTGGTGATGAAGTAACAGCAATTTTGCGTCAGAGAAACTAAACAGCAAATTGTGATGAAATAACAGCGAGAAAGTTCGATCATAATCAATCTCATATAAGATATTGATGAAGCAATTACCGGTGGAATTCACAAAAAAAAAACCCGATATCTTTAGTAGGATCCTGAGCATCCAAAAAAGCAACTGACTAATGATGGCATCAGCAACGAAATCATTGATCTGACTGCTGCCTAAGAACACAATCCTTTCCATCAACAACAGCCCCATCGCATCGGTTTCGGCGCCTCTCATCGCCGTCACCGGCGTTTGCGGCGAAGAAGCCGAAATTTTTAGGTTTCGCTCGAAATCCAATCTTAAGCTTCCTATGGTAAGGGCAGAGGAAGCAATTGAGCATTTGTTGCATTGATACGGCGGCACTGAAGGGCGGAGCCGCGGAGGGAGAGGAATTGAGCTTGAGGTGGTTTTGTAGGAGTGAGCTCTCGAAGAGGTGGCGGATAGTCGGACTCGGATACCCGTTCTCAAAAGTCAAAACTTTTAAATAATTTTGTTTAGTGGCCATTTTATCAAAATGAAATCTATGGTGGCCAAAATACAAGTGTTATCTTATCTGGATTTAGACCTCCGGCCACTCCTTGTTCGACTCTTTGCTCTACACAGCGGCACAGCATAATCAATGGCGGCGGCTGCTGCCTCCATGCTGAAAACAACCTTCTTCATCCTTAAACCCACATACAAAATCCCAATCTCCTCTCTGTTTCAATCGCCTTTCATCCGATCGATACCCAACAAACGAACCCTACACTCCAACAACCGACGGCATTACCAATTGACCCGCAAATTCTGCTCTTCACAATTAACCCAAGAGCAATCCCACACCAGTCGCTCCAACGTCATCGAAATACTTGAAGAAAGAGGCCTACTTGAAGCCATCACCGGCGATAACCTCCGTTCAATTTGCACAGATTCATCTCTTCGGGTCTACTGCGGCTTCGACCCTACCGCCGAAAGCCTCCACCTTGGTAACCTCATCGGAATCATCGTCCTGTCATGGTTCCTCCGATGCGGCCACTCCGCCGTCGCCCTCGTTGGAGGCGCCACCGGTCGGGTCGGTGATCCATCCGGTAAGTCCCTCGAACGCCCTGAACTCGATATTGCATCCCTAGAACGAAACATCGCGGGTATCTCCGATATAATCCTGAAAGTCCTCGGGCATATATCAACCGATAACAATTCAATCAAGGTTTTGAACAATTACGATTGGTGGAAAGACGTGAAATTGCTCGATTTCTTGAAAAACGTCGGGAGATTCGCTAGGGTTAACACAATGATGGCTAAAGAAAGTGTGAAAAGAAGATTAGAAGCCTCCGATCAAGGTCTAAGCTACACCGAGTTCACTTACCAGCTCTTACAAGGCTATGACTTCGTTCATTTGTTCAAATCCGAAAACATCACAGTTCAAATCGGCGGATCAGATCAATGGGGAAACATCACTGCTGGAACTGAACTAATTCGAAAGCTTCATCAATCCGATTCTGCTTATGGTCTCACATTCCCTCTGTTACTAAAATCCGACGGCACAAAATTCGGGAAATCAGAAGACGGGGCAATCTGGCTTTCACCATCGATGCTATCACCTTACAAATTCTACCAGTATTTTTTCTCAATTCCTGATTCCGATGTTGTGAGATTCTTAAAGATTCTTACGTTTTTGAGCTTGGATGAGATCAAGGAGATTGAAATCGAGATGAAATCAACCGGGTATTTGCAGAATTCTGCACAGAAAAGGTTGGCTGAAGAGGTGACGAGATTTGTTCATGGGGAAGATGGATTACAGGAGGCGATTAAGGCTACTGAGGCTTTGAAACCAGGGTCTGAGACCCGATTGGATTGGAAGACGATTGAGGGTATTGCTGAAGATGTTCCTTGTTGTTCTTTGAGTTATGATGAGGTTTTGGATCTTGGTGTTGTTGATTTATCAGTTTCTACTGGATTGATTGAGAGTAAATCGGCTGCAAGGAGGCTGTTGAAGCAAGGGGGATTGTATTTGAATAATGGGAGAGTTGATAATGAAGGAAAGAAGATTAGTGTTGATGATATTGTGGATGGGAAAGTTCTGTTGTTGTCTGCTGGAAAGAAGAACAAGATGGTTGTAAGAATTGCATGAGGGTTATTGCACATATGTTTTTCTTTCCATTTTTGGTACATTCTACATTGGATTGACTAGAAAGATAAATTTGAGTTATTGTGCAATGCCCCTAGAGGAATTTTAAATGAACTTTAATGGTTTTTCAATTTTTCACACGAATGATTTTTTGCACCATGATGCCTTTTATAAGCAAGTCACTCGGAGTCGACTATTAAGTTACATATGTCTCAACCTAAAGAACTTCTATCATATGGCTGCGAAAAGGGTGTTGAGATATATGTAAAAGGGACTCGATTTTGGCATTATGTATAAGAAGGCAAGTAGTGTTTTGATAGCTTACACTGGTAGTGATTATGCAGGGTGCCTAGGGACACGAAAAGCACTTCCACGAAAGATCTCAAACGTATACATTTTATAACAATACAACTTTTACAATAATATGAAATTGTCTAGCCCTAAAACTTTTGGCATGGGTAAATGGTTATGAGACCGGATTTGAGATTTTATAATACTTATAGTTTTATCATTAAATATATATGATTTCTTGATCATATTCTAACATTGATATTAAAATATGAAGTTTGTAATGAAATTACAACTTATATCCTAATCTGTGATTTTATCCAAAAACACCTAATTTCAAAAGTTGAGACCATATAGATCTTGACATTTTGTTCTCAAATTTACAAGTTGACGTTACGTCGAGTGGTCAGCACCCTCATTCAAACAAGAACCAAGAAACAACCTAGGTATCGTTTGATAGTTTCTGTCTGATAAAGTGTTGTCTGGAAAAGTTTTCTGACTGGGAAAAAACCATGTTGTTTGATTGTACATCTGATTGACTGTGTTGAATGATGAAAAATGACCATATTACCCTAATGCTCTATACTGTGATTGATGAAATTGCTGAATAATTATAAAAAACATACAAATTATAATACAAAATCAAAATTACACAATAATCATTTAAAAATCCAAATACAAAATGTCATACAAAGTAATTAAACATCAATCAATTAAAATCTAAATAGAATGTGGATTAGGTTGTTTGTAGTTTAATGTTTTTCAGGTTGATGTTACATTGTTATTCTTTCTAGCTCTTTTAGTTTTTTTTTATAACCCAACGTGTGATTCTTGACCCGGTTTATGGTCATTTTTTGTTTTACGTTTTTTTCTTTACTCTTTTTTTTATTTTATAAAACAATGCAAGAACATATATAATTGTGTTTATATTATTAATTGTACCTCAAGCTTTAAAATTTGTAGCAAATTGTGTTTGTATGTTTTTTTTATTAGTTTGTGAATTAATTTTGTATGTTTTTGCTAATTAGTTTTGAATAATTTTAATTAGTGTGTATTTGTTTTAAAATTAAAAATTGAAAGGGTTAAGCGGTTTGAAAAAAATAGGGTTTTCATGTGATATAGGTTGGAAGAGTTGAAATAAAGATCAAGAGAAAAAAACTTATGTGTCAATGCGTTTGTGGGAAGGGCTTCCTCCTCCCTTATGAATCATAGACCCTATATACACCATGGTACCTTGCCTTGTAACTTGCAAATTATATCATCAATAATCATTGCGAAGATATAGGGGGTTTAGTGTCAAACCCTAATGGAGCCCTATTCCATCAGAGAAAGTCTATGCGTCACCAACTGCAATATGGACAGAAGTCATCTACCGACAATACATGTCACAAATAGCTTTAACAAAACACATTGAGAAACTTCTAACTACCAAAATTCCTCCAGGTCGTCTCCCTTGGAAGTCAGGTTTTGGTTTTTTTCTAAGTCAATAGATCCTCATTTCTTTCTCTAAACTTATACATAAGACCTCTAAGAATGTGGATTACCTCAGTCATCAACGTCCCAATTCATAAATGGTTTTCAGCCATCAATGTATATTGATTTAAAGTTTACACAATTTAGGGTATCCCTTTTGTCTATACAAATCGGTCTCTCAAGTTTCAATCAATTGAGTTTTACCATTATGATTTGGTGATGAGCAGTGTTTTAAAAACCGGTTTGAACCGGTCGGTCGAATTGGTTGGACCGGGAATCGGAGAAAAGAGCGGTTAAACTATCACCGGTTTTACATCAATTTCTGAACCGGATTGAACCGGCTGGTTTTTAGAAAAAACCGGTTCAACCGGTCAAAATAAATCGGTTGAACCGGTTAAACTAAATAAAAATACATGGAAAAAAACATTTTCAATAATAAATGTGGACTTTTTCACATCTATTTAGATTTCTCTAAATAAAAACATATGGTAAATATTATGATGTTTTTTGATGCATTTATATTCATTTAAAACTATATTTTGTTTCGTTATTATATTTTATTTTCTTTTTTACATATATGAATTGATATAAAACTTATAGTTATGTGTTGTTTTAATGTATTTATATTGATCTATAACTTATTTTTATGTGTATTTTTAATGTTTTCACTTGTAGACCTCAAATTCATGACTTATGCATGCGGAGAAAAAATAAGAAAAAAATATGAAAATTATAGAAACCGATTGACCCGGCGGTCGAACCAGTTAAACCGGAAACCATACCGGTTCAACTACAAAACCGGTTTTTAAAACATTGGTGATGAGGTAATTGTAATAAACCACATTGAACACACAGAAAATTCATCATATATATCTTTTAATAGTTAATTAAAAAGGCAAAGCTTTTCATATTTAAGTTAAAAGCTAACAGGCGCGATACCTTAAAAAAAACGCTGATTCAAAAACTTTGTTTAGAAGATGAAAAGCATACTATTTTGTCTTTGGTAATAAGCCAACAGAACTGAAGCCATGTCACAGCTACAAAAACTAAAACATAACAATTCCAAACACATAATACCCAACGTCAACATATCAAACAAAACAATATCCAAAATTGGTTCAACATAAGTTTCCATGATAATACCCAAAAACAGTCTCTCCCTACTTCTTCTCTTCCTTCTCTGCTTCAGCTGCCCTCTTGAGCCTTGCACCCAAATGGCGTTTGTTTGTCCTCTCAACACGCAGCTTGGAATAAGCACTGAATGACTTCATTTCCTCAGTCACCTTCACAAACTCAGCAGCTGCCTTCTCCCTAACAATTGGCAACACTGACCCTTGAACCTGTGTAGCACTTGCAAGCTCCTCTGGGGTAGAGTCACCAGCCTGAAACAAAATTTCATTTGTTAGCTCTTGAAAATAAATTTCAAGATTATTAGAAAAACACAAAATGAAATAGAATAAAGATTTACCTTAATCTTCCTTGCGCGTCTTGGGAAAATGACCAATTTAGCCTTGAATGTCTTGAGCCTCTGGACATTAGCTTGAAGACCCTCCAATGAACGGTTCCTGCGGCGATGATCCACAGCAATGCCAATGGTTGGAGCAAGCTTCTTGGGAATACCAGCAGCCTGTTTACACCACACAATGTAAGTTACACTTCAGCCCCTCACAAAACTACAAATTACACTTTTGAACCCCCAAAGTTATGGTGATAACATGTCTTTACCTTAAGCTCTTCAAGAGAAAATCCTCTTCCCTCCCTAAGTTTCATGTTGTATTTCAGGGTTTGTCCATGAACCTGGGGACGAAGCTTTCCAGCTGGCCTTGGAAAATCTTTCACAGCCTTTGCTTGTCTAGCTAAAAGACATCAAAAATAAAAAGTAAAATTTTAAAATCTCATTGACATATGTATAAGTTAAAAATCATAATAGCAAACAACTGACCGTTTCTTCTCCTTGTTTTGCGTGCAGGTTGGTTGAACCATGTCTTGACATAGTTCTGCCAATGCTTCTTGAAGTGACCATTTGGAATGACATTGTTATGCTTAACCATGGTTACTCTGCAAAAGACATCACATCTTCTCAATTGTAACGAATAAAAATAAACAAATAGATTAGTATCGCTTCGAAAGGGATTGAGTAATGAGGCTCATGGTTTCAAATAGCAAAGTAATACTTTGAATGTTATAGCAAATGATTAAAGCCTACGAAAAACTAAAACTTTTGTTAATGAAACCAAAGCAAATCGGTCCTTAAAAGATACACCGAAAAAGCACAGGATTTGTAAGGAATACAGCGCCTGGTGATTTGATTGTGAAGAAACAATAAAAGTTAAAGAAAGCACAACAGCATTCAGAGGATAAATCCAGGCCAACGAATAGATAACAGACAAGAACGTTCACACAATACGAGAAAACTACAACTTCGTAACATGATAATACACATTCTTAAACACTCACAAACAAATCTTCCAAAAATGAGATCTAAACCTTTAAAGTTCACACAGATTTAGCACAACAGCTACAGATGTATACTCATCGATGGATACAATTTCACAAATAACCACGACTCCAATTACAATCTTTCACGAATTACACAGCGTAACCATTGAAAATGTTCGGTAAGCATCTGCTCAATCATACCTGAGTTAAAGGCGAGGCAGAGTGCTTCGTCTTCAGAGATGGCAACGCGGCGAATTTGAGAAAGAAGATGCGCAGAGACTATTAAAAGGATCAGAAGGGAAGTAAAACCCTAGACCTAAATGAGCTCCGAATTATTTATCTTGGGCCTCATGTTTTGCTTATGGATAAGCCCAACCTTAGATTCATTAGATCATTGTCTCTAAAGTCCAAAAAGTAGGCCTGATATGGGTTACAATTATAATTTTATAAGTGTTTAATGTTAGGTAATTTGATTAAAGTTTAATAAACAATAGAGTAAATTACATGAATCGCTCGTCCATGTTTGGTCGAATAAAATGTTTTGTCTTTATATTTTGTTTCATTCGAATCAGTTAGTTTGAAACTTGCATATTTGTCGACTTAAAAAGACTATGATGACCTTATATATTTCTATTTTATTTGTTTATCATCTATAAATAAAAAACAAAATAGACCCCACCCCTTCACCTTTCCCCTAACTTCATCTTCTCTAGCTTTTTTGAACTTCATCACCGACAACATATGAATTTCAACAAAATCTTTCTCTTTTCTCTTCCGTTTATTCATCATAAACTCATATATAACCCCATCCGGAGTGTGCTAAATGTCTTGTATCGTCCCAAAACCTACAATTGGATCCATCTATAAATCAAGAAATACCAAGATTATAGCCTATAAAACGCATATAAAAACATAAACACGTAGATCTGAAACCTGCATTTTTTCTAGCATGTAAAAGATGAGAGGGGAGAAGGGGAGATAAGACACGTTCATTTTTTTCCGGTGTAGATCTAAAGAGACATATATCAAACTTATGTTGTTTCTTTTCCTGTAGAGATCTAAACTTGTGGGTTTTTTTTGTAATGAAGGTTTATGGTTAACACCAATGGTCTAATAATGGTGAGTGTTTGCCACAGTGTTTCACTAATTTAGAGTATTGAAGCGTAAACTATAAGAGATGAGACGTGAATAGTATTCAGTTCTGTAAGGGTGGGTGGTCGATATGGAAATGATGATAGATAAAGTGTAACACCCAATAAATTAATACAAGGTATACCCAAACTTTTCATTTTTATTTTATAAAATAGTTTGGTGTACACTTATAATAACCAGCTGAATACAATAAATTAGCAAAAGGACCATATACAATAAAAGTAATATGAAGTTCCGAGTGGGGAGTTACCATTCATCTACGGTCATGTTATCTCTCAACCATTAGCTTACCCTTAATGGGGTTATCTTGTAACGTATCATTTTCACAATCAAAAATTTTCATTTTATTAAAGTAAACTTCCCAATTATAAATCTATTAGTAAGAAAACCGTTTACTCCAAAATACATTTATTGAAAATCAGAATAATATAAGAAATGTAGAATTCTCAATGTTGTTGTTGAATGTGTATAGTCTCGCATTTGCCTTCCTACGATCACCGATAAAACCTAAAAAAACATAAACAACTGTGTAAGCACAAATTTTAGTGAGTTTTCCTCAAAATATCTCATACGATAATCTGTTTAGTCCAATCCAATTCAATGTTGTCCAGTTTTATCTAGTTCAATAGTGTCTCGTTGCCCGAAGGTGTCGTGAAGTCCAAATGTTAACATGTAATTGAAAAAAATTTCTTAAAATACACAAATTAAAAAAATCAAGGAAATAATAGATAAAATAATCAAATCACTAAAAAATCAAAAAACCAAATCAAAAGAAAAAAAAATTGAATAAAGACAAACTTAAAAGCCAAGAGTAATAGTTTTATTAACTTTAAAAACATATTTTATATTTTTTTTACATGTTTATCCGTTAACACCCATAAATTGGTGAAAGTTATTATTTTTAAAAGAACAAACACCATCTTAGCATCATAAATGTCGAGCATGTCTAAAATATCATTTGAATATCATAATGAGTGTTACGATTATATTTCTATAGATTATACTAGGGATGAGCTTTAGAACCGGACTGGTTCGGAACCGGAACCGGTTTTCCTATATTACAATAACCGGAAATCGGACCGCCAGTGCGCTGTTCCGGTTTCGGTCTCGGTTTTTCGGGTATTTTTCAAATTAGAACCGGTTGAATTGTTCTAGATGATATGTTATATTTCGAAGCCTCTAAATTATTCAATATTTAACCAAATTATGACTTTTTACATTCTAAATTGAAGTACAAACACTGAATTACATGATGAAAAAAGAATTAAGTAATTCCGACTTCATATGAGTGAGTTATGCGCATTTTAAAAGTGGGACAACTCCAAAAAATAAAAATAAAATGTTGAAACGGAAAATATGCAACATTGATATGTTGTCTTCCGAGGTCTATAGTTGATTCAATATCTAACAAAAATATGTATTTGTACAGTCTAAAATGAAGTACAAACACCAAATTACATGCTGGAAAAAAAATTAAGTAATTCTGACGTCATATGAATGAGTTATGCACATTTAAAAAAACATGACAGATTTAAAAAAATAAAAAAAAATTGTTGAAATAAAATAAAATAAAAACGCAACATCAATATTCTTTCTTTCGTGCATTTATCTAATTCAATATCTAACCAAAATATATGTTTGTACAATCAAAAATGAATTACAAAGTTCAAATTACATGTTCGAAAAATATCAAATAATTCCGACTTCATATGAGTGAGTTATGTACATTTTAAAAAACGAAAAAAAATGTGAAACCGGTTCCGGTTTTTAGAACCGATACCGGTTTTCATAAAAATAGAGAACCAGTAACCGGAACTTATTACCAATTCTGGTTCCGGTTCCGGTTCCGGTGGTTCTAATGCTCATCCCTAAATTATACCATTAAGTAAGAATTTACAGTTTTTTCGGCTTTTTTTTTGGAAAGGGAACTTCCCTAACGAGGGTTTCCGGGCCAGCTTTCGCGCACCGACTAATCCCCACTGCAAACATGAGGCTTTGCCTCATGCCCTGGAGTCACTGCAGGCGAACCTCCATGGCCACAAGGGCTGAGTAGTGTCAGGATTTGATTATTGTTTTTCCATTATGGTTTTCTTCATCTATTGTTTTATGCGGTGTGATTTTTGGCTTTTGCTATATTTTTATATTTATTTTTTTCTTCATTTCTATTGAAAATGAGCCCACTTTCTTTGCACTCATGAAAACAACCCATAAGCATTAAAGATTTCATGTAATCGTCATTATGAGTATCTTGCAATTCTAGATTATATGTCGCGTTACGACTACAAATATATTAATCCTTATAAGCCGATTGTTTCCTTCTTATGCATCATTACAAAACTTCAATCATTTGCCCATTATTGATATTTTTAAAATGTTTATGTGCCTTATCAAATGTCACTAAATAAAAACAACTTTAGGATCGGTTTATGTAGTAAAACCTAAACAACTTGCAAAATGAGATAACATTCCCAAGTGTAATAAAGATTATAGACTTTAAACAACCTATATGGATATAATCTTTGGAGTATTTTCATTTAAACCATTAGTGATTTATAATAACATAATTGTGGAGAGATCGCAATTTTCCCGGGAATAACTTCAAACGCGAATGATAAAGAAGACCTTTTTGACCCAAAACAAAGTGCTTTTAGTTTATGAGCTTGTCATGAAACGCTTTTGTCTTCTCTTTTGATAGTTTCATTTTATTTACTTCTTTTTATAGTTTATTTTAGCACATTCCATCTCATTTTAGTTAATCTTCATGCATATTTTCTCTTTTTGTTATTTTTCTCCTTTATCGGGTGTTTTCCAGTCTTTTGAGCTTATTTGAAGGATTTATCGAAGACTATTTGTCATTGGAGGTATGGAAGGAGTGCGGGACTTTTGTAGGCTTGCGGTTTGCTTGTGGACTTGAAGTGGTGTGATTAGGCATGTTGTCAACATAATCAAATGATCAAGTTGGGCTTAATTTTAGATGAATAATGATGATGATGTGAAGAGAATTTTGAGCTATAGAAGATAAAGAAAGCAATGGCCCATCTTGGGAGAGTCAAGAAGACACAATTGGGCTATCAAGAACCTTTACATGTGGGCTGGACCAAGAAATAAAGGAGCAAAAACTAGAAGGCCAATCAGATGGGCCAAATGGCCCAGAATCCACGCGGTCCGCGTGGATTTACAAATGGTCCGCGTGGATCGCACTGTGAAGAATCCGAATTTTTGACTTTCTGACTCTATTTTGGGAAGGTTGGTGGAATGCTTTTGGGAGACTTTTGGATCCGATTTTTGACCACTTTTACTGGAGATTTGGGGGGGGGGGGGGGGGAGATTCATTATCAACTCATGAAGAACAACTCTATTTTCTCTCAAGAAGGCTTGAGAAGAACTTGAAGATTTTGAAGATTAGTGTTTTATCTTGCACTTTGAATCATGTTTGGTATCTCTAAACCATCTTGCATTTCTTTTACTTTGGCCATGCTTGGCTAAACTTTCATTTGGTTGATTAGGGTTTAACCCATGGATGATTAGTTGCTTTGAAGACTTATTATTATCTTGTGTTTGAAGTTTATGGAAATGTTTTCTAGTTAAACATCTTGTTGTGTTTATTTATTTTTGATCATGAGCTTAGATGAATGAATGCTTATTTTTGTTGACTGGTTTCTTGGTTAAGTAATAGACCCTCAAATTAGTAAGCAACAAATGGTTTATATGTTTGTTTTCATTTCATTTAGACCATGTAAATGTTTCCTCCATAATGATAATGTAAGCATTTGATTATGTTTTGGACTTGGTAACTATTAGAACTTAAAGCTAATTGATTTTCACAAGATTACATGCTTCATTGATTTTGTGACTTTAATTAAGGAAATGTGTTAGAGCTCCTCTAGCCATTTTAATAACAATGAAGAGTTAAGGTAATTTGTGCTTATGAATTGTTATAGCTAAGTTAAACTAATTCACAATATTTACTCCATTTAGTCTAACGATAAGTCAACTATGCCATCCATGTGGTGTATCCCAAAATCAACCAATTTCACTTCATTGAATTTAATCAAATCTTTTACTTGTTTACTTGTCATATTTACATTCTAGCTAGTTTTAGTTCTGTCAAACAATCAAAAAGAATTAAAT